ATGTGTGTCTCGTCGTGTGCCATCACTATAAGGGATTAGAGTATAATAAACTTTGCACATTATATAGGCTACACTAACGTGACGTTTAGGCAGTTCGTTTAACTACTATATGTGATATACGTTTTTGGGGGGATGGTTAATAAAAGTTTTCCAAAATGCAATAGTAATTTCTTGATGACCTAATACAAGAATATATTGAGACTTTTATTGTATGTGTGTATTATTTTTGTAGACATAAATGAATTATTGCACATTTAGTGTCCAAATTTAAACACCTCTTTCACATATGTAACATACTGGTTGTTCAGGCAATATTATTTAGTGAGCATGAACTGAATTTTTTGCTGAACGGTAAATCACTCACAATCATCTGAAAGTGTTGTAATCCATTCCAATGTTAGGCAAATTATTTTGGATTATCTGGCAAAAATAATGCCAAGTCTAGTCCAGGCAACAATCACAAATTTCTTTCTTTCTTAACTAATGCTTGCTACAGTCTACATTCATTTTGATAAAAGTTGTAGGCCAAATTTTTCAAAATGAGCTCTCAAACTACTGTAGGTTTAAGACACTAATAGCTTTAAACAGAAATTTACTCAACTGATAATGAAGCTCACTAATTTACTGATTAAGTTTACTTGATCAATCTTCTCTTGATCAGCAACTACTCGATCTTTCACATGCTGAATACTTCACTGAATTCTCACTCACTACTTAACAAGTTCTAAATAAATACTTCAATGAACTCTAAAAAATCACAGAACTAACTAAAATAACTCAGATTTATAACTAATATACTCATGCTTAGATAGTATTTGAAGTATCTCAATCTTAACATCATGCATCCTCTAGCTAATGCATAAATTAAACCATTGAAAATATAGCTTACAACAACATATACGGCTTGATATGTTAAGAAATATATTTACAACCACATCTACTCCCACATTTGTTATGCCCAAGTAGCTTGAAGTGTACAAAGAAGTAAAGTGGCTTTGTACTGATTGAACATCTAGCCTGTAGTATTCTAGACTTCATGAACAGAACACAAATATCTAATGAATAATATTTCACAAAGATACACTTAACTTTCTCTTTGTTCATATTAACTAACTTAACTAGGCTTAACATTAATATTTTCCAACACTGAAAATGTATTTCTGATAGATACTTACCTCTTTTCAAATAATAGCTTTCCTCAATTTGTGCAAAATTTTTGCTCATCTCTAGCCTCGAAGCTCCAACCTGACTTCACATGATTACATATGGTATAGCTGCATCATAGCATGCAACACACCCTCCTAGCTCAGCTGACTCCCTCTATACTGTAGAGCACATTTAGCACTTCAAGATTAGGCAAGAAAAGGTGCACTGGAAGTGGGGAAGATGAGTGGGAAGTGTGAGAAGAGATATCTACTGGATACACATTTTCAGTGTTGGAAAATGTTAACTTATGATACAATACCTCCTCTCACGTAATAGTTAAAATCCAACTGAGTGAAAGTTGGTCACACTCAAGAGGAAGCCTCCATGGTCCATCACTCTAGTGGCTAGGAACTGGTAAATGGCAAGGACTCCCATGCTCCACTAGAACAGGGGGGGATGCAGCGGGGAGTCTGGAGGAATGCAACACCTTAATACTGTGTAATGGGTGACCACAAACACCCTATTTTGAAAACCAGGCCAGTCCTAGTTTATTCAACTAGGATCACGAGTTGGTATGGTCTGGAATGAACCTTATTTATTAAGTAATACACCTAGAGAAACCCTCAAGTGGTCTTGTGAAAACCCCATCTCATCAGTGAATGTTATAGACCTTAAAGGTTGCACACTGCAAATTTAATGTTAAGTACCCAGACAGGCATCACTCACCACTGAGCAGGATCCAGAGATGTAGAAATAGGCCACTGTAAAGGGAAGATATGTGGAAAAAAAACTTACCCAGTCAGAGTCGGAAAGTGATGCAGAATGGCAATGGGAGTAAGTCAATATCCCGAAGAAGAAGAGATGGCCAAACAATAAAGATAATGAAAGTTTGCAGGGCAGTCCACATGACAGCTTGCATGAACCCCACCAATGGATGACAGAAGAGAGCAGCCAGGTAGAGAGTAAGGTGTTAGCTTTGGCGAGAAATAGTTGACATGAATCTGCATCCAATGAAGCATAGGCTAAATGGATGAGCTGCTATAACCATCCCTTGAGGGTAATGGAAGAAATATATCAGGAAGATAAGGAATTTTATAGAATAAATATACAATAGTATGAACCATGAAAATGAGCAGTGTAGACCAAATAGCAACAAACCACATGGATGGGACAAAGAAAATTAACAGGAACAGAATGAGAATATAAGTAAGAAATGAAAGGAAGAAAAATAGAAGTGAACATATTTTCCCCATTACAAGCCACAGATGTTTTAGGGAAAAAAGCATGAGCAGGATAAAGAAAAATATAATAATGACAGAAAAGAATATGGCAAGCATCAATGACAAACACACACAAATTCTCATCCACATATAAAAAGAAAAAAATAGGACCTAAGTAGTAGATAACAACATTCTAGCCCTAATCAGGAAGGAATGCTGGACAAGGAGGATGAAGGTGGTGAAAAAGAATGAGAGAGCAGAGAAAGGACAGGAAAATAGAATACATGATGATAATAGGAAAACCTGAAAGAATTAGGTAGAGCTGCCCTGTAGCCAGTAATGGTCAAAAGCAATAAGCCATGGGCAAACAGCCAGAAAGATGGGAAGAAAGAACGATGCAGAGTCCAACTAAGGAATGTGTGCTATTTTCATGGATAAGCAAGGATGGAGGAAGAATGAATAGAACGTGAATGAAGGAAGGCTACAAGTAATGAGAGTATGGAATATCTCACAAGGGACCAGACAAAACCCACATGTGAAGCTAGAGTGACAACCCTACCAAATAGTAGAGGAGTCAGATTGAAGAAGTAGGGAGCATGACAGAGGTAGAGGAGGAGGGAACCAGAGAAGGTTCAAGAGAGGAAACCATGGCTGAGCCAGTCAGTGCCAAGCAAACAGGAGGACTCAACATGGAGTGATCACAATGAGGGAAAGCAAACAATGGAGAAGACAAATTGGAGAGTAGGCAAAGAGAAAAAGGATGTACCACAGCAAGAGTTGAGGGATGAGAAACTGGGAACAAGAAAAAGGAGAAATATGGTGTTGAGACGAGTGGCCAAAGCACTGAGGAGTACCCAAATGAATCACAGCCACTGAAACAGCACAGGATTGAGGGACCATTCCATAGTTAGTATTTTGTCAGGCTGGAAAAGACAATCCGTGACAAAAATCAGAATACCTGGAATATGACAAGCTATTAGACATATATGTGAAGAATGGGTCCAGAAAAAGAGGTTGAGAGCATGGAAACAGAAATAGTGAAACTGGGTGCCCCCTGGCAATGGATATAGGATACAACAGTAAATTTTTCTGTATGAATTATCACCAATGTACACAAACCATTCTAAGAAAATTATTCCAAGTCTGATGTACCGTCAAAAGCTCTGAGAGTAATAGGAAGGGACCAATCATCGTGAAACCACCCACCCAAAATCACTGGAGAGTTGTTTGTTTTTTTGGAATTTCGCGCAAAGCTACACGAGGGCTATCTGCGCTAGCCGTCCCTAATTTAGCAGTGTAAGACTAGAGGGAAGGCAGCTAGTCATCACCACCCACCGCCAACT